GTCAACAGAAAGAGTTCGTATCAGGAACGTCTTGCAACATTACCTGCGCAGACTAAGAAGACAATGAAAAAAAAGCTTTCCAGGACTTCCCGCTGCACTTTGATTCACAGGTGAGCTCTGGGAAATGTAGACCAAAACACCCGGGAACATTTGTTAGCAGGCCACAATGACACAAAACAGTTTGGTTTTTAAAAAAAATGTCTAAATAACATGTCCCCAGTGACAGGATAGCCTAATGATACTGGGGTAAGGTGAGCCATGAGTGCACGAGGTAATCAATCTTTCATCATCCACACTAAGGAAAAGGATCCAAATGTCAATATAGAGTTCAAGAGCAAAACCGAGATTTTAAGACTCCCTGGCTTTTCCACAGTCACCACTGCTACATTCATGTCATATCAGCATCACTGTAGTTTATGAGTTTCTAAATTGTGAATCACATCAACTTTCAAGTCATAATTACTTTCTGAGCTCTCCTAGATACCAAACCTCCAGCTTAATAAAGCAGAAATGCCTAACAACCACACAAGGATGCGTCATGTCAACTTGGATCCACTGTTCGACAAATTAAACACAAATGTAATAGATATTCTTCTGGTGACAAAATCATTCGTTTTAAGTCTAGCATGACCACCTATGCAACCACCCAATAGGTAGGTAGAACTTCATTGATGCCACAGTGGGGAAATTCCAGTATACTGTATCTATACCACTTATCCTGTACAGAACAGTGGGAAGAAGCCAGAGTGCATGGAGAAAAACCCTGCAGGCATGGGGAGAACACACAAACCCCACAAAGAAAAGCCTCAGTCAGGATTTGAACCCAGAACCTTTTCTACTGTAAGGCAACAGCACAAGCACTGCACCGTTGTTCCACCCTATACAATCACACTTTTGTCTTGTCTAATAACAGGAATGGTTGGATGTCCAAAACATGAAGATCTTTTCCTTTCCCATATGATGTGAATACTGCAATATAGCCACTAAACACTGGCTCCGTATGCAACACCATTCTGGGATCAAATCCCAATAATAGCTCTGCCAAGCAAATTTTTCTCCTTCAAATAAATATTTGATAAATGGTCTCCTCACTCTCCACTTTCAAAACAAGAGAACTCTCCTTGTCCTCCTCCAGACCATCTCTGTCGTTCTTTTCCCCCATCTCTGATACAACTACAAACACCCTGCTTCCCATTTATCATCAACAATTAAACAGTGTGAATGTAGACTACTTCATAAGCACGGAAGGGAGGATGAGGAGAGCAGGAGGAGATGAATGCAAGTGGAATGAGTCAACAGTGAGAAATAGAGAGGAAGGCTGACAGCACAATTAAGGTTTTTAATTCTCTGCTTGAGTGGGCCGGTCCAGTCTTTATGCTAATTAGAATGCCACGGCCATGTAATAAATCTCTATGATCCAGCCTCATTTCCTCTCTGAATCACTGTCTCTTTTACACACACACACTCAAACACACCAGCATAGAAAGTTCAGCCATTACTCTTCATGGCAGCACCCTTCGACTGGAGTGTTAACAGTTTTGATAAAGCAGTTTTTTCCTTGCAATTTGAATGCTTCCCTGAGATCTGAGAGCCATGGCATGTCAGCACGTACTGTTTACTGGTTGGCCGAGCATTCACCGCTTTGGCTCAGTGCCTATACTACATGTAGTTTCTCTCCCTGTTAACTCCCTTTATTAGTGTTTTTCAGGAACATGGTTTGCATGCCCTGCGCCGCTGGACTGCCACACACATTTAAAGACGCTGACCCAATGAATGCAGAAAATTCTCTTATTCCGCTCCCTTTTTCTTTTATCCGCTCATCTTTATTTGACAGACATGTCTAACGATAACATTTGCAGATGGGAAGAAAACAGCACAACAATCTACAGATAATTGGGGCCACATTTAAAGATGAGGGGAGAGAAAATGAGAGAGACAGATAAATAGACAACTGCTGGCTGTTTGTTAAAGTAGTAACTAGCAGATTTATTTTCACCCTCATTTAGGTCACAAGGATGCACACTAATCAGTGCCCCCCCAACCCCCACCCCAGCACACACACAAAGTATCCCACAGCCAATTTAAACACAGAATCTGTGTAAAAAATCAGCTACCGTTGTATGTTCATTAAATAAATGAAGGTAAAAACAGGTTTAAACAAACTGAGGTGAATTTTTTTTGTTCAAAGAGACAACATTAATTTAGAGCAGAACTCAGGTTCGCTGCACAACTCTACGAACAAACATTATCGGTCTGGTTTTGGCAGGAGGCCCCTCCAGCTTCTTCTGCCAGTTCATCACTCTCTCACTTGAGGTGTCATTGTCGGCCATTTTGTGAAGCGCAAGGATCAAAATGGCCACCACTCCCACAGCCAGGGCCACGTGAAGCAGGTACACGGCTACCTGGAGACAAGTGAACAGCAGGGAGATGCAAACGGTGGCAATGCACCAAGGCCAGGCCAGGAGCAGCAGGAGGGAGTGATGGAGGGAGCTGAGGACAAGAGCCGGGGTGGACAGGAGGAGTCTGAGCAGTGTGGAGCTCAGCCAGGAGTACAGAGAGAGGGGAGACAAGAGGAGCGATACTACTGCCTTGCTCATGGATTCTGCCTTGAAAAGCAAATGCAAACAAAACATAATATGACAATATTGATGAAAAGCAACTGGCGTCCATTGTAGCAGCTGTTCCAAACTTTTTGCTGTTTCAGGGCAGGTTGCATTAGAAACAACCTGTGATCATATAACTCACATATTAACATTTTATAAGTTGATAGAAAGTTGTTGGTAAACATTTGCTTATTTACGTATCTGGTAAATGCAAAGCAAAGTTATCATTCACTTGTTTCTGGTCACCTGGCAAATTTGCATCTAATAGCCACTTTCTGTTAGCACTGATTTTGGTTTCCAGCCACTCCTAAGGGAAATATCTGGCTCTTTAGCTGTAAGCACACCACTATCTGTGCTTGTCTGCCATTCAGTCCTGAGCAGGTGGCTGCTGTGGCCAAAAACAACGCTATGAAAGCAAAGAGTGAGAGTGAACTGAAAGGGTCAGTTACTGTTATGGGCCACTAAACCCAAACAGGGATCAATAATAATTTGTTTTTCAGTATGAGAAAAGCCTTTCACAAGTGTTATTATAAAAAGTAGCACTAAATGAATTGTATCAGTACATTAATTTCTTAGGATTGTTTATCTTTAGCCTTGAACAGGTGAAAGTATTCAGTATTTTACAGGAAAAAATAAAATTGGAGTAATGTTTAAATGAAGTTCTTATCCATTTTTGACCCTCAGCTTTATACTGGGTGTGGCTCTCAATTTAGAAAGTAAACTTAGAATCACTGTACTAATTAGTTTTAGTTTTCATTAACTTACCTCACAAGGAAATTCATGCAAGGTGTCACTAGACGTCTGTGCCTTGTGCAGCCCTTAAAAAAAATGAACAATGCACAGATATGTGGGAAAAAAGACAAAAAAAGAAATGAATGTGTCATGCCTCAAAAAACAGCAAGCGAAACGGTTGGACCGTATCAGTGTAACAGCACTTCTCAAGAAAAATAAACTCACATAGGAAAAGGAGAATGAGAGCAATTGCCAGCAGAAGCCTCATTTTTGCCTCTACACTCAAACCTGCACACAACAAACAAAACACACAGCTGCTCTAATCTGTTGTAGCACATGATTCTTTTATGACAGCAAGTTTATCAGAGCTTTCATCTCTACTCACTCAACACTGCTGCTAAACTGGACTTACTGTGTAAAGTCCTCAGCTTAGGTAGGAACTCCTTTAACAGTCTGCAAAGTCTGTCAGTTTTAATTCATTAATCCTCTTCAGGGAATGAAGGACACACTTGTTTGTTGCACTATTCAAACAGGTGTGGACTGAACTGCAGATTATGAAATAGGGTAGTGCAGTGCCCCCTGTTTGATTGGAGGAACAATGACAGCAATCAGAAGCCATAGGCCCTGATCCATTTTCCAAAACAGTTCATGAACAGCATGTAAAATGGCTCTGTTGAACAATTAGTTGTCTACAGGAGAGGAAAGGAGAAAATGGAGAATGACCAAAGAGGGGAGGGTCTCTCTCTCATTGAAGCTAGTGACATCTGGCTGTTAGCCCAGCTGTTGTTCGCACTATATATATACACACACACACACACAAACAGCTCTGATCACCAAGCCTCAACCCAGCAGGAGTCATTATGACCAATGGAATAGTATCTAACCTTCACCACACACTTTCATTAAAGCCCCCCCCTTACCACCACCTCTCCCCACATTACCCTTCGCCTCCCTGATGAGACACCAAGGAGAACCTGCCACAAATCCCCATCAGCGGCAACACTATCATGACTTAGTGGTATCTTGCTGTATAGTGAGGAGAGGATGAGAAGGCTCTTTTGTTTTGTGCAGTGATTATCATTTAGTCGTTCAGCCAGTCATAACGATCACTCTCCTACAGCCATATGTGCTATAACAATGATTATCCACCATTTTAAGAATCAAGGCAAATTCATTATCCCTCTTTGTAGAACATAGGTTTTAATTAGATCAATGGTTGGCTTCAGGATATGAACCTAGAACCTGCTGGCTTCAACAATATTCCAGGTTACTGAATTATAATGCCAGAACACGGTTGCTGCTGTGTGCATCTAGTTTCCATAATCACAAGTCTGTTCATCAGGTAAGTGCAGGATATGTGCTTTGAGTCTCAAGGTAAAGTGAGAAACATTGTTCACATTCAACTTTTTTCTTTTAGCAGAAAAAGCTGAGAAATATTGTCACCAAGCTAAAAGTTAAAACGGGAAGTTGAACAGAAGGATGACAGAGTGTAAAACACACCACTGCTCCATCAAACTGCAGATTGAAATAAAACAAACAAAAAACAAAAAAAAGAGCGCCTGATATCATGAAGTGCCTACATCCACCTGAATCATCCATCTCCATAAACAAGACATTACACTTGGCAGAAATCTTTTATTTTGTTTACATTGTCACTAAAATGTGACAGTGAAAACCAGTAAGCATCATTAAATAAAAGCAGACACTCATGTAAACATTATAGCAGAGTTATAAACACATACATAAAAACATAAATACATGAAAACAATGACAGTAAATCAGTAACATTTTTAAAAATCTATAAAGAATAATAAGGGTAAAGACCGTTAATGCTAAGATCTGTGCATCAGTTGATAAAAAGTGATCCTTTACTCCTGGATGCAGAAAGAGGCATTGCATTACACCAGGTTAGAGGTATCCTGTCAGGGTTAGGCTGAGGTTATGTTAAGCCTAATAAAGACATGACTGGTTAGAGCGAAGTTTAGGTTCAGATTAAGGTAAGAAGAAAAACCACTTTCCTCAGAATCTCCTCCCGAGTCTTGGGATCAAACACTAACCGAAAGGCCAGTGATGTGGGAACAGAAAGTAACATTTCCAAGAAAATGCATTATTTAGAGACTGGATGTAGAGAGGATGTCTTCCACCAGGTGCTTATAGACCCAGGCATCTCCCTTCAGCCTCTTGCGGCGAACCCCGACGACCTCTGGTCTCTGCAGCAGGCACACCTCTAGCTCAAACGCCAGGGTTACCTTGCCAAAGTCGCCCCAGGTTCGACACTTAAGGGTATATCTAAATATAAGGTGAGGAAAATGACAGAAATATTAGTATTTAATCAGTGATGGAACGATATGGTCAGAAAGGGGGAAGATGAGACAAATGATTAAAGATTTGTATTCTTACCCTTTCAGAGTAAAGTCAACACTTTTCTCTGGCAGGATAGAGAGGATCTGGTTAAGGACCTGGTCTGGGTTGGTTTGACTGGTCAAAGTCACATTGTATTGTGCCTAGAGAAAGATAGAAGCTGATCACAAATGCTGCCTGAATTCTTTGTATTTGTGTAGAAGAGTCAAAAATAAATGAGTAAGACATTTACTAAGCAAGAACACCAGGCATTCTTTGGCTCCAACTTGTCAGCTGTGAGGATTTCCTGCCTTTGTCTGTTCATTGTTATTTTAAATGAAAATGCTCGAGTCTAGGCCTGCTGGTTTCTACATGAACATACCTTGATCTTGCGTGGGCCATCACGTAGGGCTCGTCTCTTACTTGGGGTGAGCATGGTGATCACCTTGTCCAGGCCTCTCTCCAGGGAGCCAAACATCTTCCCGCTTCTCTTTTTCTTCCCGCTGTCTCCTGTAACAGCCATGTCCAAAGACCGAGACCTGAAAAGCGAAGACTCTCAAACACTTTGCCGGGTCATTTGATCAACCTGCTCCTACCAACACTCCACAATTAGATGATGGGTTTATATTTCTGTATTAGCACACCGAACCTGTAAAGTGTATTCTGTTCAGCACTCCAATCATTTAGGTGATTATCTGATTCAACCTGAACTTCTGAACTGTAAACTTCTCCATCTTGTCCTGCTAGTGGCAGTATTTATCTCATTCAGTTGCTCACACACACACTCCACTCCTCTCCTTTCACTCCATCCATCCTACAGGTCACTCACCTTCTCTCAGGACTGAAGGCCAAGATTTCAGTGTTTGCAGGCTCTTTGTTCTCTACTGCTCTCTTTTTACTATGCTCTTTAGAAGTGCTGCCTCCACCTACAGCACAGAAAAGTGAATTAAGACAGCTGAGAAAATATGTTCGGTCACATTACATACTTAAACCCCATCATTACAAACTTCAGCACTGTTCAACCCAACATATATTTATTTTAAATTCTAGTAAAAATAGATGTTTCTAAAGATAACCCCAACCATTTGTTGATTAATCGATCTGCAGACTGAGAAAAATATTCAACTGTTTAGATAATCAATTCTTTGTGTCATATCAAATACAAATTTTCTAAGACTGACATGGTAAATTTAATATTTTTGACTGTTGGTCAGGCTTTAAAAAGTAAAAAAATAAATAAAAAGACATCTGAATAAGTCACCTTGGCCTATAGGGGCTTGTTATAAAATATCTAAAATCTTGTAAAATCTTAGACCAAACAATCAAGAAAATGATTGGCAGATTAATCAGTAATAAAGAATTGTTAGTTGAAGTCTCTAAGCATGCATGTCAGTGGATGTATGCAAAATGAAGCACAAGACATTTCTATTTGATGGTACATCCACTGAAAAACTGCCTGTTTTGTCTTTGAATATTTCACTCAGGATCTCATATTTGCAGCTTCAATAAAGACTGAAAAAACGAAAAAATTATGATGCCACTCAGAAAATATGTAAATAAATTCCTTGGTCAACCTCAAACCCACTAAAAATGAAACAAAAAAGAAATGGAAAAAGGATAAAAGGGGATTAAATGTAAAAACACTGGTACAAACCTGGCCTTGGCAATGGAGATGTGAGCACAAAGGTTCAGGCGTACACAAAGAAGTGGTTGCATTCCTTATGGGGACCTTACATTGACTTACATTCACTTCCATGACATACCCTACTCATAACCATAAGCACTTGCCTACCCCTGGCCTTAAACCAAGTCATCACCCTAAAAGGTCAAGGCAGAGTCTCCTCCAAGTGTGCGTAAACAGGTTTTAGTAAACAGTGCGAGTAATACAGGCAAACACACACACCACACATGCACAAGAGCTAGGCTTTAGTGGCAAGAGAACACATGTCACTACAGCCCATGTGGGACATCGAGCCAAGGAAAGAGACAGCTACACCTGTCACAGCACACGCCGAGGGACAGGCACACAGACTATGGTGTGTGGGGGTGTGTATGGACAAGTATGTCAGAGGCAGTACGTCTGCACAGTAGCTTAAAGAACAAGTGGCTGTAAACAGAGCAGGGCTGAGCTAGTTTCCAAGGGTTTAACACCAACTAGGTGAGCTGCAACATGTTAGCGGCTTCTGGCCGAGTTTATAGTAGAGACTAATAAGGGCCGGACATCTGAGCTGAGAATTCACTTTGACAAATAATTAGGACTTTAATGATTCTCCATTCACATTAGTGTCCATCCTTCATTTATAGATAAGCGAATAGAATTAGCTTGCCTGATAATAACCTCACCTTTGAGTTGACAATGATAAGTGTGTGTGAGTGTGAGTAAATGTGTGTGTCCATTTTCATTGGCTTAATGACAGCTAAATCATACAAATATGAGTGGCTTTGGGATAAAAAAACAGGGCCAATAAATGGGTTTATTACCACAAGACAATTTACTTGCAAATGTGTGGCATGTGGATGTGGCACTTGTGATTATGAGAACTGGATGTGACCGAGAGAGAGAGGGGGAGAGATACATAAAAGAGCAATATGAAGGGGGCAGCTGGCTAATGCAAATAATCTAATAGAGATTGTACTTCAATCCCTTGTTTGGAACAAAAACCAATTACAGTATACAAATAATGTCTGTGATGAACTCAAACTGTTGTATTTATTATTCTTACCTTTAGGTGTGACTGCACTGGCTTTGCTGCCATGGACTTTAACATTTTGATTGGGGGTGGTCAACACATTCTTGTTGGGACGTGCATCCTTCTTACAGGAAGCTGGAGTTCGAGGATGTGGCAACACAAAAATGTCAACATCTTTCTCCTGAACAGCAAGATTCTCCTTGTTTTCACTGGCTTGTTCATGGTCCCTCCTCTCCTGGTGGTACGATGTCGTTCGCCCCCTCTCTGGGGTTTGGCTATAAGCACATCTGTTCTGCACTGATGGAGATACTAGTCTCTTTAGGAGGAGAGTGAAATGTGGTATGAGTACATTTTTCTGAAGAGTCACAGATCTTCTCCCTCACTGCTAAAAAGCATGCACTCAAATTTTTTTTTATTGAGACTCGTCATTCTAAGCCTAATCCTATAAGGACACATAACGCAGCAAAAGTATCCATTCCTCCCAACTTCCACATACCGTATCTTTGTTGCTTGAAACTCCATCTAGCCAACCTCTGACCCCCACGGGTGTATGTTGTGTGACTGAATCCCATGGGCAATCATCAATGTAGTCTGAGCCAAAGTCAAGAGATCCCACAATCACAGCATCTTCATCCTCACTGAAATGAAGGGCTTCCTTAGTCTGAAATAGAAAAAAAAAAAATAAACACAAAAAGCCACATCAACACTGTGGCACTGGGAAACAATAAGTAAGAGCCACATTTCCACCAGATGAACATTCCCTGGGGAGCAGAAACATTTTGTGGAACATAGTTCCTCTACTTGCGTTTCTACTGGAGGATCCAGGGTCTAAATTTAGTCCCGGTGTGTAATTCTCCCAACAAAAAAGTAAGCATTTCACTTGCATGTGCAAATAAAAGTCTGTCTGCACCTAATGCAAAAAATTATTTGGGCACTGATGCAACTGACAGAGTTCCTTGCGCTTTCAGTTTTTAAGGAGCATTTTATCAGTAGGCCTACACAAAGAGACCAGGGAGTGAGATTAGTGGATTGGAAAATATGGTTTTAGTGTTTGTAGAGCGGCTTTTCCTTGTGTTTGACCCGAGGGAGGAGCTGAGCTTCTCCACACACACGAAACACAGCAGGCAGAGGTTGCGGAGGAGGGCATGACATCGGCTGAAGTGAAACATTACTCAGAGAATCCTTATGCTCGTTGCTGTACTTGCAATAAAACCTCAGCCAGTAAGAAAAAAAAAAAAAAAAAAAAAAAAAAAAACACCTGAGAGAGAGAGCGGGACAGAGATAGAGAGATACTTTATTGATCCCGGGGGAAATTCAGGTGAAATGCACATCACAATGTGCTCGAGGGACTTTTACCCTAGGGACAGTTCTTGGGCTTTAGCTCCTGGGAATAAAAAGTATCAGGGACCTTCTGGTGGAAACAGGGCTTCTGTATGGTAAAAGGTATAGGAATAAGGCCTGAGTCAGAACAACCAGGTATAAAACAGAGTCAGTAGCCCTAAAATAAGTGCCCAACATAAGAGTCTGACCTGTAGTCCCTGATGCAGAGGAGAGCACAAGTCCTCACAGACAGCTGGCTCAGGGCGCAGGCGGACAGGCTTTCCCCTCTGCTTCTTTGACAGCAGCAGCAGGTAGGTGGCGGAGGTGTGGTCATACCGCCACTGCAGGAGTTAAGATGTATTAAACTGCTTGTCTAACATAAGCTATGCAAAAATATAATATTTACAAACAAACAATCTTAGGACTGGGGGGAAAAAAACCCTTATGCATACATTTGTTGTGACTTTGCCACCAAAACCCAAGCCAATTAGCAGTATGGAATATAAAAATACTACTATTTAAATATGTGCATAGAAGGGTGCATACCTCATTGACCAGTGCTGTGGTGCTGTTCCTAGATCGTTTCATGTTGACAGCCATCTCAGTGATACAATCCTCATCTATATAGCCAAGCTAAAAAAAAAAAGCCAGACTGTTCATACAAAAACTAAGACATATCATTTTCTTTTTAAAGTGTCATCAGTAAAACAACAAAACTCAAAACATAATGTTCATGTTTAGCATTATGGAAGAGTTTCAGAGAAATTATGTGGTGGCTGCACAAGAAAAGGAAAACCTTACTAATGAATCAAGTTTCCCCATTTTAAACCAGGAGGCACCTGTTTAAATAAAACACTGCCGTTTCACAGTTGTGCAGCTTTATTTATGCATATGTATGCATTTATAAAAGCTTTCTGCCGTTTGCATGTGTATACCGGCTGTTTGCTGTACCACTCCACGGGACTGTTGTAGTCTTTCATCACCCAGGGATGGTCCAGCAGCTGCCGAACAGTAAGACGCCGCTTGGGGTCCACCTACAGGACACAAGCAGAAACTACAACTAAGTATGTAAAATGGAGACTACACAGTCTGCAGGCAAAAAATATTATTCAGGTTAAAAAAATAAAATAAAATAAAAAATCTATCATATTCCAGCTATGTACAATGGTTTAAACAATTCAAGTTAAAATTCTTCCCTCCCATTCCTATTATAGCAAATGCATGATGTGACAAACACATAATTCAGTTCTACTGTGGTTCAAGAGCAAGAGTGCAACAACTAAATTTTTAACTCATGGACTGTTTTCTGGAAAATAGTGAGAAATTGTGAGAGAAAAGAGGCAGAGCAGGAGACAGATACATTTAGACAATGGAGGAAACTGAATACATACCTGCATCATCTGATTGAGGAGGAGGATACTACCTGGAGAAAGCCAGTGTGGGTTGTCATAGGTACCTCTCTATAAACAAATACACACGCACACACAAACATATGTAAATGAGACTTAAACAAATATAAAGGTTCCCTTAACCTATGTATTTGTATAGGTGGTAATATTCCAGTAGTGTACACTACCAGTCAAAGGTTCGGACACACTTTCCCATTCAATTCAGTGGGAAAGTGTATCCAAAGTTTTGAGAATAAATTGACATTCAGACTGATCCAGAAAATATCCAACTCCCTACGTAGGGGGCTGCATTGGTTGGGGGTGAGGGGTTCCAGAGGAAGCGCTGTAGGCATGTACGATACAGCCACCTTATGATGAGTCAGGGTGAGTGGCTTTGTTCATGTTTCCAGCCCACTAGTTTCTGTTGTGTTTTGGTTGGCCATGCTGCTGACATGGCCTATTCTACATCAGCTTTGATAGATAAAAACAGTTTAACACTAACAAAAACACATAGCATGTCATTGTAGTGCATTAACTATGGCCCATATTTGAAAGTGAACAGCAGCGTGTCCCAAATTTGAGAATGAATAGCAGTGAATGATCACGCTAACAAAGTAAACAAGAGTCTTCTTCCCGTGGGCCTATATGCTCCGACTGTTCTCCATATGCGATTTGTCAACACAGTGCTTTTGCCAGATGATGTCACTGTCTGGTGCAGCAAAAGCTGAACCAGATCCAACTTTTTCACTGCATGGGGCTGCGCCATTTTGCTGGAGCCCCCTGTGGTGTTTGTGCTGGCTGAAGTGAATGCAACCCAATAGATGGGAGAGCTGCCTAACAGTGCTCTTACTGCAATCTTCCTGAAGAGGGCCATGCAGTTATCATCATCAAAGGGCAGGTATCCACAGAGCAGAGCGTACAGCAGCACTCCCATACTCCACACATCAGCCTGGAGGTTACACAGCAGTTACGATTTCACAGCTCAGTTCACTGAATCATGCACCAGCAAATAATGTTCAAGACAACATAAAACTGCGGCACAGGCAAATAATAACAAATATTAGCAAAAAAAATTAAATAAAATGTATCTTTTGTGGGTTGAAAACACAATCCCAAAGGTTCTAAACCAGCAGAGAGGATGCATCTCTCACCTCTGACCCAATATATGCTTTTCCCTGGATGAGCTCAGGAGCAGCATATGCAGGGCTCCCACAACATGTCATGAGCTCATAACCCAGACCTCCCTAGGAGATGACCACATGATAAAAAAAGACCACACAGCATGTATATGCATACTGTTTAGAGTAAGTAATTATGCAGACATTGCCTCCACCAAAAAAAGATGGATTGTACATATGCTGATGCACTCATAAAGAGACAGGATGTGGTAATGTACCTTAGGTTTGGCACACAAGCCAAAGTCTATGAGCTTCAAGTTGTGGTCTTCATCAATCAACAAGTTTTCCTGAAGTTCAGAGAGCCAAGAGACAGGAGAGCAATTGCACCAGCCATTAGAGTCATATCAACCACACACAAGCAAAGACATTTTTCAAATCGTCTCTCGTCATTCTTTCACACACAATCAGTGGTTATTCATACCGGTTTTAGATCTCGATGTGCGTATCCTTGGCTGTGGACATAGGCCATTGCAGACACAATCTGTCTGAAAAACACCCTGGTCTCCTCTTCTGACAGACGGTCCTTTGCTATGATGTAATCAAACAACTCCCCACCAGGGCAGTACTGAGACAAGAAGGAAAAAGTGACTCAGAACAGCCAAATGAATGAAGATGGCATTATCATATTTTGTTCTTTGTGTGCTCACCTCCAGTACCATGAAGATATGGGTGGAGGTCTCTATGACCTGGTAGAGACGACAAACATGCTGATGACTCAGGTTCTTCATGGCCTCAATCTCCACCTTGACACGAGGTAGGTCATCCTGAGGAGAAACGTGACAAGCTTTTCCCCCCTCTGTGTATATGTAACTTGTTGAATTGCAAATTAATTTTATGTTGCTTCTGGTTAGTCTTGTGTTTTTCTAAGGTGTGAATTTTAAATAATTTTTTTTTTACTAATATTTTATGCAGACCTCAGGGGGACCACTAATCTTCCACTTTGTGGTAGACGATAAAAACCAAAAAAAGTTGCAATAACAGCAAATAAGTCAAAAATTATGGGTCAGTCATTCCAAATAATGTTTACTGAACACAATCTGAAAATTGCAAATTTGGGATTTTTTATCTTAGTTTTATTTTATTGTAATTGTTGTGCTACTGTTCCGAAAAAAGTGTCACAGTGCTCATCCCTTTGGAGTGCATGAACTTGTAATATAATAATATAAATTTAAGATAATATACTTCCATAGACTACAGACATTGTAAAGACTACTTGTCCTCAATAATAAAATGCAGTTGTTTTGATGGGGAGGTTTTTACGACTTCTCTGTAGGGCTGCCTTTTTTAGTTGAAACATTTACAACATTTTCCCGTAGCCTGCTAAGTGGACAGGTCTGTTTCTGACTCACCCCTAGATCTTTTTTATTCATGACTTTAATGGCAACCTTCTCCCCTGTCAGGATGTGTCGACCCAGCTTGACTTTAGCAAAGCCTCCTGTAAAAAAAAAACAACATGTTCATGACTCACACCAGATAAGATACGATACTGACAACACTGTAAAATAGTCATTAATACTGACGATACCTGAGCCAATAGTCTCATGAACCTCATAGTATTTGTGGAGTTCGTCGGCTCCGCGCTGCTCCGTCCTTTCCACAGGCATCCTACAGCCTTACGATGGTAGACTTCTCTGCAGTGGGAAAACGGATTTTAACAGCAATGTTAGCACCAAACTCGCTAAAACACTCGGCTACACTGGGAAACAGTCTTAACGTTAAAGTTAGCTACTTTTCTGTCGCTAAAAGTCTCTAGCTAGCTAGGTAGCTCAGCTTAACAGCTAATGCAGAACTGGTACAAACAAAATTCATCAGCGCCACCATAATACCTTACAATACCTTAATAAAGTAACGTTATTAAAAGCTGCTATACCATGAGCTCATTAAACGAAGTTTCCTAAATATGAGTGAGAAATTAGGTGAGACCCGTTAACAAACCATCTGTCGAACAGAAAAACCCTCACGTATAGCAGTGTTGTTAAAGAAGTTTGAATTTCGTGCGTCGACGTTGACAGCATTTCCTGTTTCCGGTACTTAAATGCTGTCGTCCCTTGTGGTGAATAATGGTACTGCAGCTATTAAAACAACATACAAAGATGATGATGATTCAACTTTGTGGTCATTTTGACTGCAGTGTGTTTCGCTGTTGAATTGTATCGCAGCCAAGAGGTTTTTTATTATTATTATTATTTTAGTCTACCCTCAATATAGATGGAGTGGACAAAATATTAAAAACACCTCTCAAGTGTAAGTAGCCCATTCAGATACTTTATTTACAATCAATCTATTAATCAAAGTGAAAGTACAAATGCCAACTAAATATCATTTACAAGTAAAACTTAAACATTGAAGATGTTTCCTAAGTAAAAGTACTATAAAAGAATTGTAAGGAAAATGTAATTAAAGTATTAAAAATAAGTCTATACCTTGTATATTATTAAATTATTACTCAAACATTAATCTATAAGTAGTGTTTTACAGTTGTAACTGGTTATGATAAGTGTTAAGTTTTAACACTGGGCTGCAACTGATAACTAACCTGATTATTTTCCTGATCAATCCATTTATTATTTGGTTTATAAAATGTAAGAAAATAGTGAGAAATGCCCATCAGAAAACTTAAAGTGAACTCAAAGTGCCTTGTTTGTTAATTTTACTGTAATTTAGTGAAAGAAAAAAAAGCAGAAAACCATCACATTTGAGAATCTGAAAATATACTTGAGCAATTAATGAGTTTGCAAAGAGAAAATAATGGGGGTGTTACCACATGTTGATGGTAACATCAACAAACGCACACTGTGCTGATACAGATTTATTCTGTTACAGTTATATTATTGCATATCATATTATTGTATTATAATGACTGGTGAATTAATTTGTAAGTAGCATTTTGATATTGTAGGTGGTCAAGGTGGAAATGGTTTAAAATTGTATACACTTTTCACTTTTTATGATAAACATATACATACATATACTTCATAAACTGATATTTCCTTTGTGTACACCATCAGTGCAACATTATTTGATTCAATTACTTAAAAATTGAAAAAAAAAGACAAACAAAGCATACCATTGCACATGGATGTTAATGCCTGAAAGGTAGTGGTTAGCTGAACGATTTACCTGCAAGCAGGGGCAAGTACACAGTCTGTGGGATGCAAATCATCTTGTGTGTTGCAATTTATAAACTGTTCTGCTTGACCCTGTACGTAAGTTGTGGCAGTAGCTGACCAGAGACCTGTACTTATGTTGTCAGAAAGTGTGTGCCTTCACCTGCACCAATCTCAAGCATGTAATTAGGAAAAGATGAGAGGCGAGTACAGAGACCATTGAACACATTTTAACACACCCCCGCCTACAGTACTTGTCAGCCACCTGTGATGATTGTACACAGCCACTCTTACTGTCACACTTTTAATGTTGTACTATAAAGAAACAGTAAGTATTTCTCTTTTGGTTACATTGGAACGGGACAACTTACGACACCTGTTCTAGATAAATCAGCTCAAAATTAAAGAATGCCTAAAAGAAATCATACTTGTAAGGTCACAAAACAGGCCATCCCAGTTACGTGTTAACCTATAAAATATAAGCAAGACACGTTTACTGAATGAAAATCTATCCTGACACTTAGCCAACATGGACAGAACGCTGCAGGGGAATTTCAGTGACTGATCGGTGGTTAGTAAGGAGTTGGTTGTTAAAGAAGTAACCCATGGTTAGGGGACGTCCAGGTGTCAGTGGAATAACAGAACCCCCTCATTTGATTTCTGGGGCAGCTGGCCAGGATGGGACAGAGGGACATCAAACAACCCACAGCTGGATGAAAGAGAGAGTAAGGCGAGTGTGAAGAGAGAAGGAGAGAAGGAAAATGGAAAGGGGATGGCAAAGAGAAGAAAAAGAGGGAAATGGGAAAAATCAATAGCCAGGGAATATAAAGGATAAAACTCTTTGATTTCAGTGGTGAGCAAAATTTCTGCTGACTCTATTGTTCATTTTTAGTGTCTTTGACCATTTTGTCTTCTTTTCTTTTTCATTTTTGTAGTCAATAAGCAAGCTAGGACACATACACTCTGAATTACCAAAGAATACACTGAAACACTGATGAAAACTCGTTTTAAATTGTCACATATGGTTGAATCTCAGGAAAGCAATAGAAAAAAAGAAACTTTTTTTAAGGCTTAATTTTTATTGAACCTATCAGTTACGGGATTTTCATTCTCACATCTGCATGAGCTCACAGTTTTACTGCACATTAAACCATATCTTCAATGTACTGTAACATGCTTTAACCCAGTGGGTGTTCCCCCCTCTGGGTCCTTTTATAAGTTGTGACTCAAGAGAATTTTTATTTCTTTTATGAATTAAAAAAAGCACATGCTTGTAATGCATTTGATGGAAAGTTCTGTTACAGTAAATGGTTTTAACAGGCAGCATGGGCATGGAAGGCCTGAGGGTTTGCCAGTTAATTTTCACATATACGAGCTTCGGTAATGAATCATACTGTAGCAGTCGGCAAGAGTCAGGGTTTAGCTAAATCCCAAAGTAATCACACCAATAGCTGCATTAGATCCTGACCACATAATCTTTACAGAATATCATAGTAATAACATGTTTTATCAACTTGGTGAAGCATAATTGTGTACTGTATCTGGGTTTATGGATGTAGGCTACACTTGTATATTTCACTGTTTGAGCAGCTTTGTATGTTCAGGAGCTACTGTGCCACTTTCAGCCATTCTCATTCTCACAGCGTGTGTGTAATCAGATATGGCAACAGCTTCAAGCTGTCAGAGTAGAAAGCAGATACTGTAGCCCTAACAGTGCCGGTCTTGGACAGAATTCCTAGTATTCCCTGGCAGAGGTATAGAGGTTCACAGAATGCCTGGGCCATAGCTCTGTGACTTGCAATATTCACTGCAGGGGATCGGTGTCTTAAATCTGGCTATATGTCATAGAGGGAGAAAGAGAAAAAAGAAAAGAGAAGCATGTATGATAAGTGTGTTTACAGCATGTATGGTTTTGATGGAATCAATAAAGTATCTATCTATCTATCTGTCTGTCTGTCTGTCTATCTATCTATCTATCTATCTATTTATCTATCTATCTATCTATCTGTCTATCTGGTTTGTGTTACAGGACATCAGTGTCCTTTTGTGTTTCGCTCAAAGAACACAGTTCCAAACACTCACAGAGAGAGACTGATGCAGACAGACACATAAATTCAGAGGAAACAATACACTGCTGTCATCTCTACCCGCGCTGCTTCCAGCGTCCTAATGAGACTTCACAGAGCTTTACATCATAGTTAGGTTGTCTTTCTAAAACATATTGCTTTCACTGTGACTAGGCTGATTCAGTCCATTATTGCATCACAGTGCTTTATTCACACATATGTAAGTCATATATCTTTTTAGTCCACACACAAATATACACATCTATACAAACACACATGCACAACCACAAAGAAAAGGAAGCTCTCAGAGACGCTGTAAAATTTTCTGTCCTGGGAATTTCATACCCATGGTGTGAACAACTGTGATGTCGAACAGCTGGCTAAAATGTTATTTTTAATCTGAAAAGTTGTAAGCACATGTAGGTAATGGGAGTCAGGTAGGAAACATTTTATCTGTACTCCATCTCCTCTTTGCCTAATATAAAACACTGCAAAGTTACAAAGCCAGGAAAGTTGTAGTATATTATGTCCTTGCAGAACTACAACAATCAGCCATATTTGTTAGACTGTTTCCAAATATAGGTGAAGACCTTAGGAGTGTGTCACTACAAGGTTTTGGTCCTAGTCCACAAAATTTACAGGAATTTCTGGGTTGATTGGCTTATTTCCCAACATGATATGGCAGTGAGCTGAGTCACTGTAAAAAGGGTATCTTTTGGGTGTGAATCACTAGTAAAGGAACTGAATCACTGCAGACAATAATGGCACTCTACATGTTTTGCTCATTACGCACAGAGAGGGAAAGTGATACTTTTGTGATTTAACACTTTTTCTATTATCCTCAATCCATCTCTTTCTTACTCTTTCTTTTTAATGTATATGATTTTATTCTTCATTTTTTTCCATTATTGGCAAAAAATGAAAAGAGGAGTAATAAGGAAGATCATATAAAGTAAAAAAGAAAAAGAAGAAGTTAGGGCCGGTCCAGAGGGATCCACTAGTATCCAAACCTTCTTAATCTTGCATGTCAATTCACAGGGAGAAATACTGGTTTTGGATAAACTTTAGGATACACACCACAAACACACACAAATCGTGGCTTTGCTTGAAACAACTTTCTTTCAACATTTCTCACTACATCCCTTGTAAACTGTCTTTTCCCCTCCTACCCCTCAAGCCAGTCCCACCCACAAACACACACTCCCTCATTAAACATGTGTATATGTGTGTGTGTGTGTCTTCCTTCCTCAGTCTCTCCATGGCCGGACTGTGGCAGCAGCTCAGCTCTCTGAGGCAGGGTCGCGTTATGGCTCTCCTCAACTTCATTTATCTTCTCTACCCATCCTCAGCTGCTCTTCCCTGGGACATCAAAGCCAGCCCATCCCCTCTGCAGGTAAGACATCCATTTGGTCAGGGAAAAAAGTATATATGTCCATATATAGCTACATGGACGATTAAAGTTTTAATTATATCATTTATTTAGTCTTTTAAAGATTTGTATTAGCATAATACAAATGTGATTTTATGGTACACGGCAGCCCACTGGTTTGTTTTAAATTATCTTTGCCATTGTCGCTCAGACTAACTAAAACAGAAGAACCAGACAGGTCCATTAGGAGTGACATGGGATAAAAGAACATAAGAGATTCATTTTAAACTTGCAAAACTGTGATCTCTGCAGAGTAGGAATGGTAAGAAAGACCAGAAAGGTTCCCTTAACTGTTGGACTGGACTAAGTGAGCTGTGGGATTTCCAGAGAGAGAGGGAGAGAGAGCTGGAGAGCAACATGGATGAGTGAAAATGAGAGAAAAAGAGCAGCAATGTGATCCAGTGGAATTTATGATTATACTGTTGAAACAAATGCCTGTGATGGTGAAACTGTGGTTCAAATAACATGCCAAAAGTGTTTGTACATGTACACGAGTGGGCACATGCAGAGTTTGTACCTGTGGCTTTGTGTTCAAAAAAATGTGTGAATGTGTGTGTTGGCAGGGGTTTGATGTGGTGAAGGCTAATTTCTCCTGGACATACCTCCACATTGGCTACCATAAGATTACTGTGATTCCTGTAGGAGCACAAAACATCAACATAAAGGAGACAGTAAAGAGCCCAAATTATCTGGGTATACACACACACACACACACACACACACACACACACACACACACACACACACACACACACTCTCTATAAAATTACTGTGATTCCTGTAGGAGCACAAAACATCAACATAAAGGAGACAGTAAAGAGCCCAAATTATCTGGGTATACACACACACACACACACACACACACACACACACACACATACACACACATACTCTATGTAACAACAGAAAATGTGACTACAAAAAAACATTAACATAAGTGAAAATGTGGTCTTCCTCCAGCTCTGAGGACCAAAACTGGTGCCTCAATCATCAATGGTAACTGGGTGATTGACAGGCCCGGGCTCTTCACTGCTGTGGGAACGCAGCTGACATACAGACGACCCAATGAAATCCGCTCTCGTAGTGGAGAGTCCATCACTGCGCCAGGGCCGCTGACTGAGGACCTGCATGTTTATGTGAGATGCAAAACGCAACAGCTACATCAACCTCACATAATTTCCATCTTATTCAAATAAATAAGCAGACACACAAATCTGTTAATGTGGCAATACACAAACAATTTCACTACATACTGTGACATACCACCCCTCTCTCTCACTCTCTTTTTTATAGTTGATCTACCAGCAACCAGGTCCCAGTGTGTACTATGAATACAGTGTGCCTTTACACAACACACACCCTACTCCTGAGCCAGATGCACCTTCTGATATTCTGCTCCTGGGTGAGTGTACTCACTACCATACATAAACACACATACCCACTCTTAAAGCGGCATTAGAGTGACCACAGTGTCATCTTCTCATGCTAAACATTCTGGTGTGACCTTGGGGAGGATAACACATAACAGATGTTTTTTTTGTATTGGTATATATACAGTGTGTGTTTGTGTGTGTGTGTGTGTGTTTGGTTCAGATCTCAGTTCAGGGTCATAGTCATGCCAGTGTGTATCATGTTCAGTAAAACTGTCCCTTTTAAAAACTTTGATTAGGATTTTGATAAAAGTTGATATAGGCAGGCAGCCAAATTTTGTTCTGGCAAAGAGTACTTTACCACAGACTTAGACAATGGTCGGTCACTTGGGCCAGATTTCATTTCATTTTCTGTTTAACCTTCATTAAAAAAAATAGCTTGATTTGTATCTGCCAACACTGTAAATGCTTAATTTAAAGAGATCTCCTGAATTATCTGCACAACCCCACAGGCGTTTTTAATTATACATGCACTGGCTGATTAGACCTTTGCTCAGACCACCTGCTGGGTGGTGCTGTACTGGAGGTATGCCAGTCAACAGGCTCCATGTATTATAAAAATGAGAAAGGTGTTATTTGTCCTGCCCAAAGTAGGCCTTCTTTTATTTTATTTTATGTTTTTTTTTAAGGTTAGTGTGCAAAATATTTACATTCTTAAATCTTTCATACTAGCAAAATGAAACAAAATGTGCGCAGGACTAAATCAAACTGCAACTCTAAAATACCACTGTCAATTACTGATATTCACAATTAGTTGTAATTTGTTTGTTTCTTACATTTCCTCTGTGCATTGGCACCAAGTTGCTTACATCAACAATGTATTCAAAATCAGATTTTGTATTCTGGATTATTATGAACACACTTCACATGCAGATCCTGTACATAATAAGGATTTAGGACAGCCTGTATGCACCCCCTAAATCCTGAAAACATATGTAATCACCCATAGTAAAGTCTTGTGTCTCTAACACTTTTTCTTATATGTTTGTAACCATTTTGCTCAAACCCATAAATTTTCACTTCCTGACAGGCGAAACTGTCAGTCCACCCCACCCAGCTGAGAAGGCGCACCAAAGCAATATCACCAACAATGATATCACCAAGGAGACACCCCATCCTAACCAGGTTCCCCCTTATCCCGGCATGGACACTGACCCTCGGCTCACCTACACCTGGAAAAAGAGTGGACACACAGAGTGCAGCATGACCTGTGGCACTGGTGAGCAAATAAACGTAATTCAAAGAAGGGTTGAATAAAATTTTGGAATGTGCTATTTTACATTCTACTTGCACATACAGTCACTTTAAAAAGTATTCACTGAAGAAATGAAAAATATTCCAATTTTTGCCATTTAATTTACAATGAATATTACATTTAGAAATATAGAAATTAATTTAGAAAATTTGGCAAATTATTACAATTTAAACGTACTGTATGCAGACCCTCAGTTCGCTACTTTGTAGAAACTGTTTTTGCAGCAATTACAGCTTGTCTTGGGTAGTAAGTCTCTACAGGTTGTGAACACCTGGATTGGGTCATTTATCGCATTCTTCCTAGCAGATCCTCATAAGCTCTGTCAGACGAGATGGAAAGCATCTGTCATCTTCAGGTCTCTCCAGAGGGTGTAAGGGGTTTAAGCTGGAGTTTGGTCGGACCACACAGGGACGATGAGAGACTTGTCCTGAAGCCACTCCAGTGTTATCTTGGCTGTATGTTTCCGGTCACTGTCATGAACAGTGAAGTGTTGCCCTAGTCTCAGGTCACATGCACTCTGGAGCAGGTTTTCTTCAAGGACCTCTATGTATTTGGTTGTATTCTTCCTTCCCTCAATTCTGACCAGTCTCAGCTGTCTCTGCTGCTGAGAAGAGTCCCAGTGGCTCCAAATGTCTTTTATTTAAGGCCACCGTGCTTTTGGGAACACTCAGAACTTTAGATATGGTTCATACCCTTGTCCTGATTGATGCCCTGCCACAGTTTTATTGCAGAGTTTTACAGAGAGTTCCTTAGACTTCATAGATTGGTTTTTGTCCATATTTTCACTTGCTTATGTGGCTTGTGTGTCATCTGATGCCAGGCAGGCGTCAGGTGCTCTGGAAGTGTGTTGAGAAGGATTCCCAGGTGACTGTTCCTCGTGAACTCTGTGACCCTACCATTAAACCAACAAACCTGGAAGAAGACTGCAACACTCAACCCTGCCCTGCATAGTGAGCAACACACACACACTTGATGTTCCATACATTAATCATGACATATACACAGGATGCAGCATGCATACCACTGTATTAGTTCCATATGGTGCTGGGACATTCAGGATGAAGCCCTCATCATTCACACATATTTTAGCTATAAGTCAGTCACCAGTTACAGTCACTCTGACTTACTTTTGTGTGGCTTTGGTCGTCATGCATTGTGGTAAATGCCACTAGATCTTATCGTCATCAAGATATAGCAGGGGATTCGTGTGTTAAATGTATATTTGGTTGTGAGTCAGTGTCAGTGAATCATTATAGTTGCCAGTCTGAACTATATACAGTATGTTTCCACTAGGAATGCATCAGCAACAGAGGATTGCAAAACTGAAACCAGTAGTAATAAAGGGAGGAGAAGCATCTGAACTTGTGCAGCACAGATAGGCTTATTTTATTTGTCTCTCCTATGATCTTATTTTGGAGGAAACTACGGGTTTTAAAAATGCCCCTAGTAGACCAGAGTCAACTGAACACACAATTACTGTGATCACAATGAAGACAGAGAGCTAGGACATGCTGTGCTTGTGGAAGGTCGATGAAAGTACATCTAATCGAATGGACCACAAGTTGCTTTATTTCCTCCAACTCTCTGTGACTGGCTCACAGTTGGGATGTGGGGGAGTGGTCAGAATGCAGCACGAGATGTGGACTGGGCACCCAGCACCGCCAGGTCATCTGCCGCCAGGTCACTCACGTCCACGCCAATGGGACAGAGACTTCGGTTATTGTGGTACCAGAGCTGTGTGGGTCATCTGATAACCCAGTGACCAAAGCTACCTGTCAGGTGAAGATTTGCAGCCAGTGGGAGATTCGATCTGAGTGGAGCCCGGTGAGAAACATGTTTCTTGTCTTTCCTTGTGGGGACCACTGCTTTCCCAACCCTAACCCTTACTTTAACCTTGAGCCAAGTTGTCATCGTAAAATCCAGTGATTTACATAAAAGGGACCATTGAGCTTCTGGTCCCCACATTGTGAGTCTGTCCCTACAGTGTGATTAATACCAGACTCATGCACATGTACACAAGTGTGTTTTCATTCCTCATGGGGAAGAATTGTCAGCAAACTCTATTTTAAAAATTAAAAGTAAAACTGTTCAATATGCAAAGTGTTATATTTTTATATATATTACATTATAGTATTATTATTATTATTACTAAAGCTTTAACATGTAACCAACACTTTAATATTGTAGCCAGTAAAGATGGAGATACATTTAAATATATTACATACTTTTGGGCAGTTCAATCTATAACATTTCACTATATTTTATAAGATGATCACATAAAATCCTGAATAAATGTACTTAACTGCTTTATACCATTTACTGTTATTCTCTGGTCCTGATTGATTCTGCCCATATGCATTACCATAAAATACTAGCTATTAGTAACAGTTAACAATATGTCAAACTCAGTGGCACCAGTAATAGTTGCATTAATATCAAAGCTAAATAACACACAGTATCACGGAATACAATGAACATGTATATTTTCATAAAATAAAGCTCTCCTTTCCCCTCAACGCTCTCTCCCTCCCTCTGTCTCCCCAAGTGTTCAGTGCCATGTGGGGTGGGTCAGCGCCACAGGGAGGTGGTGTGTGTGAGCAACCAGGGTGAGGTGGAGGAAGATGAGGAGTGTAACAAGAACCTAAAGCCAGACATGCTGCAAAACTGTGACATGGGAGCCTGTGCACGCAGCTGGTTCACCTCCCTCTGGAGCCAGCGGGTAACACAGATACTATTAATACAGTATGTGTGTGTGTGTATGTGTGTGTGTGTGTGTAGGAGGTGAATGGGATACAAAAGAAGAAAAAAAGTGAAATCATGTTGAAATATTGAAATGCACTGATTCACCATGTGTGATAATCCCCAGTGCTCTGCAGAGTGTGGTAGGGGCAATCGAACCCGGACAGCAGTATGTCTGATGGATCATGTGACTGATCTCCCATTGGATAGCTGTGAAGGGGAACACCCACCAGAAGTGACATTTTGTGACTCAGGCCCATGCCAAAACCGACTGGAGTGGTATACAGGACCTTGGAGTCAGGTAAATCGCAGATCTTACACACACTATTAAAACAGCACCAATACAACTCACTATTTTACATGTGTGGCTTTGTTAAGTGCTCTGCAGAGTGTGGGAATGGTACGCAGACCCGGAGTGTGGCTTGTCTTTTCAACAACAATGGTCGCATGGAGGTTGTGGACCAGTTAAAATGTTCTAGTCTGCCTCAGCCTGTCACAGATCAGACCTGCAGACTAAAACCATGTGGTGTCCAGTGGTATGTTACAGAGTGGAGTGCGGTAAGTGTCCCAAAGTGTCTCTGTTCTTCTGCCATGCTCCTCTAAACCCCTCATCTGATGCACAAATAAATCACAATCAATGCTGGAGACATTTCATTGTAATATACAGTGATAATAGAAGGTCAGTTTATCCAAAATACAAAAAGACTTTAAAAAACGTATTCATAGTGGCATCTAGCCATGCAGATAGTTATGGTTTAATGTACTCTAGAGGAAGGTTAGACGTATAGGATGAGTTGGGGCGAGTAAACATGACCACATTTATATATTCACTCTTCAGGTTACATGCTGTCTATGAACTTTCACTCTGCCTCTGCTCACTCTTAGTGCTCTCGCTCCTGCAACGGTGGCTACCGTGTGCGAGAGGTGCGTTGTCTCGCCGACAACGTTACCCCAAGTGACCACTGTGACCCCAGTTTGACCCCAGAGAGTCGAGAAGAATGCAACAAACAACCTTGTGTAGCTGAGATAAGTAAGTCTCCCTAGCGGCAGAAGCATTGCACACAGTGTCAGTGTGGACCTGGTTGGAGTGAGATTTATCTGTGCTGCAGCCATTGTTGATGTTTCCATGATGAAAATGCTCATCTGAGCCATATTGTCTCCACTTGGAGTAGCTGAAGGACTGTAAGAAAGTGGGGAGGAAAGATTACAGTTCCTTGAATTACTATATATGTGAGGTGAATATAAACCACAATGACTTGCGAATATATACTGAAATTGAGCATAAACATAATCAAGTGTAGTAGTGAGAGAGAGCTTTAAGAACACAAGACCTAATATTTACAATAAATAATCAGGTTGTACTTTTGAAAACAGCTCTATACCAAAACAATTTTCAAGGGTGTAATTAATAACCTATAACATAATAATGTGACTTGACTGACCAATGTGCTCTTCACTTTTGTTTAATGGATGCAACATTATGGCAGGTGAGGGTATGCAGTGTATAACATGGTAAATGTCCATTGTATGATCAAGGACAAACCACAACACTGAGCTGTGTTTGTGTGTGTGTGATCTCACACACACGCAGTTAATGAAAAATTACTGGAAATCCAGAAAACTGACATGAGAAAAAGTTTAAAAATATATTATTTGTACAATCCACTTCTCGCTTTTACATAATTAAAATACACATTTTCAGTTTTGAGTATAGAGATCAAATTTGGCTCTCAATTCATTTTAACAAGAAAATTCCTTGATATTTTCAATAGGACTACAGTAATGATATATGAGACGGGGATTATGTCACTCATTGGTGAGAATACATTGTGTGGGAGCTGAAACATTGCTAGATTTATGGATAGAATTCCTCTTATCTTGTTTCTCTTTTCCATCCCAGATCCATCATGCAGAGACCAGCATCATAACTGTATGCTTGTGGTTCAAGCCAGACTCTGTATTTACACCTACTACAGAAGTGTCTGCTGCGCTGCCTGCTCTCGCATGCAGAAAACATACTTGAACTCATTTCAGAAGAACCAGATCCGCAGGTGATGCTGCCTTTTGGACACAACCCTGTTTGAAAAAACAACAACAAAACATCAGGGAAACTGACAGTGAGCTTTGTTCGAAGAGAACCTCGGTGTGTACACAGCACAGTTTAATATTCAGTCACTCAGTCTTCAAGAGAGTATGAACACTGGCATACATCTGCCACAGCATGACCCTACTGTTTAAGTGAAGTGCTGTTTTGTTCAACACCTAACTGGATCCAAATAGTCTGAAACTTTATCTCATGACAACACAGGCACACACACAAATACATTTATAAGAATTTTCCTATGTATAGGTCTAGAGAGAGTTTCTCGGTGTAACTTTAAACTGTTTACACTTGGTGGTGTAGTTATACTGCTATATTTATTCTTACAAAAAAAAGCATATAATTCTGGTCCTCAGCTGTTTTTGTTGTTTTATTGCAGGAGTCTCAGAAAATACTGAACTGTCTGATGATGTTGCTTGGTGTTTCAACCCTCCATTTTTGGGGTATTTTAACATATTAAAATGTAAGGAAATTATATCACTACATTACATAAAGCCTGAGTAGCAAATTTGTGTCTATATAAAATTTTGTGGAGTAATAAGTATACATGAGATATAGTGCAGGCATAAAGTGGCATGAAAAAGTGCCCCTTTATTCCCACAGTAGTGAAAACATGATGTAGATGTTCATGCTGCACATTTCATCTGTGCACCACTCTACCCTCCCAAAAAAATCAATTTAGCTCTGTACATTCATTCAATATAGTAATACTATTGCTTTAATGAGCCGGGCTTACAGCACGTGAAAGGCCATAATTCAATCAAGAGAAATTAAAGCACAGAAAGGAACATTAAATGAACACCAATGACAAATGCACATTTCATTCTGTTTCTCATAAAACAAAAGTAACATGGGGACTGAGACTTTTTTCAATATTCACTTTATGCTCTCATTTTTTAGCTACACATACATTTTAGCAATGTCCCTGTGGTGCTGCAGAGTTTCTCTGTGCTTGTGTGTGCAAGGCTTAACTGTTAGATTTATGCTAGTAGGCTACTAAGGATGTGTGATAGGTGGGTGGGTCTGAGCCTTTGGCATTAAGGGATGTAGGGTCCACATTTACCAGTAAGATCCATGTGTCTTGAATTAGTTGGACACCCTAACCCCTGGAAACATTCAAGGCTCTCTTTTCATGCTGATAAACCTTATTCCAATCTATAAGTTTATATATATTTTATAGATACTGGGCAGGATTTTTGTAAACAGAAATAACAGCCACATATATTTTTTTTTTCTTGATAGCTTTTTTTTTTTTTGCTTTATCCTTGGCATTGGGTACCAGACAGTAAAACGTTAACAGCATTGTTACTAAAGACGCCAACAATAAGCTCTCTAAAAACATGATTGTTAGCTGCCCTCAGCCCTCCTCTACATCCCACAGCCCTCCCATTGTCCTCATATTGAACAATCACCATTTATACAAGTCAGTTTGGAAAATACAATGGCAAGTGATATTTTCCTCTAAGATTTCATTGTGAACAACAAAAAATATACCTCGCTCCCCATCTGATTTGTTCAGCTTATCAAACGCAGTAACTGGTTGGTTTTCTTTGTGGCGTCGTACCAACATCTGCTGATTTCAATATTGTAGAAGCTTTACAAAGACATAAATATACCAGAATACAATACAGTAAAAATACAAAATAAAGTTGATAAAGTTTTTTTTCTTAAATGTTAATTTACCAGAGGTAAACCCAGAAATGGATCATTGACACGAGGCAAAAAACACTAGAATTACCCCCTGAGGTCAAATGATAAAAGAATAGCCACGTCTCAAGTCAGAGCTTAGGTTCCAGATAACTCACTACTTTCATGTTATTCATAAGTAGTCTATTATGTATGTACAGGACTACAGACAAAATGTGGGTGTCCTGTGTGATACATAGTCAGTGTGTACTGTGCAAGTGCACGAGATGGGTGTTATTACTAGACTAGTGAGACAATAAGCTAAGGAAAACTTGAAGGCACAATTATCTGAGGCAGAATATACCTCGAGAATCAAACAGAACAGCTGTGGTGTCAAGGGATTCAAAAGAGTAAAAGAAAGAAAAAATACAATAGTGTACAGCTTCAGGCAGTGAATCATGTTAAGGCCAAATTATTTAAGATCGTCCAATCAGAACGCTGACAGTAAAGAGGATGTTAGACCTGACAAATCACACAGATTTGTACTAAGATAACAGTTTTTATACCAGAATGCTTTTCTATATTTTGTCATAGCCAGGCTCGCTACATGGATATTTCTTCTCAAGGTTAAGTCAATTATATTAAAGGCTTTCTTTTGCTAGTCTTCCAGAGGTTGTTGTTATGCACAATAATATATAAATGTATGTTACAAGAATATACATAGGCTTCAGTCTGTAATATCTCAGGAAGGAGTATATCCAAGCATTCCTGTTGAGGACTTTGGCTTTTTAAAGTCAGTCTACATATGCACAAATATGAAACACACGTAGAAAATGCACCATAGAATATGAGGATATGTAAAATAAAAAAAAAAAAAAAAAAAAAAAAAAAAAAAAAAAAAAAAAAAAAAAAAAAAAGGAAAAAAAGCCAGTTTTCAAGTTTCACATTTTCAAACCCTTACCATTTTATCTGATCACAGACATGATCAGGGTTGAAAAGGAACAAGACGTACAAAAAGAAACAAAGACTAGGGTTTGGAGGGCTCCAAGTGGTAAAGGTCACGTTTACCATTCCTCATGTGCAAGTCAATATAAAAATGCTACAGCTCGTACATCACTTTTGTCAACAAGAGAGGTCAGGGCAGGTCAGGTCCCCCTGTAGTACGCTAAATAGAAAGGGGGTTTGAAAATTTGCAGGACAGCTTGCTCAATCAGTAATGGAACACAGTCTCCGTTCCCTGGATATTTTTTTTTCCTCCAGCTGTCCACCTCCTCCATCTACCCAGTCATGAAGGAAGAGCAACTATGGGAGTCTGCAGCATTACATCAGGAGCCAATATAAGACCTCCATCCTTTGTCTCTTCTCCTGTATGGCAGAACAGTCATTGTCATCCACTTCTCTGATACACCATTCCTCATTATGTCGTTCCTATGTCTTTGGCTGGCTATCCCCCTCATCCGATGTATCTCCATATATCTCTTACTCACTGTCAGTCTCTAAGTCTGAGTCCGACCACTGCACTGGACTTAGTTTCCCATGACGCTGGGCATACTCGATGACTGCTGTGTAACAGAAGTGGTACTGGTCCCAGGTCTGGATGCTGAAAGCCCTCTGTGTACGCATCTGCCGCACCGTTTGATGGATATCTACTGTGCCGATGTCCTCCAGTCGGGACAGACAGATGTCCAGTGTACAGAACGTGCCTAGGCAGAAATCAAGGAAGGAGAACAAGATAAAGAAGTTACAAAAGAAAGACTTACACAGTTCTCACACTACCTACTGACATGCTTTGCAGATATTAAAAATATATATAAAAAATGTAACAGAGACAACTAAGAAAAACCCAAACAATTATAAAATAAATAAAATAAGGGAGCTCCTACTCTTTTCACTTTAAACATTCACAATGACTAAAGTCCAGTCAAATTTTCTATTCTGTATAATAAGAAAGGACTTTATAACTCACAGAGCCATGGTGGAGTAAAGGACGTTTAAGGAAGTGGCCATTAAATGTATAATAAAAAGAACATTTGAGCTAAACTTCATGTAATATCCCTTTATTGGCACAGAGTGTTTCCCATGCACTGACTTATTTGTGGCAGGCTGCCACAATATCAACATTGACTGCCACATATGGTTTTAAAATAGGATAGTGCTCTGTGTGCCGCATGTATTCCGTGCGTCATTCTATTTTTCTCTCTCTCTCTCTCTCACTCACACACACACACACACACACACGCGCGCGCGCGCTAGAACACATGACAAGCATGACCACAGACTGTCTGTGAACAGCTCTTCCTCCCTGTGTTTGTTTTCTTTAACACAACGCCGTCAATTGCAGAGATCCGACTTTTCTAATATGGTATCAGCCAGCTAGTAAGGCTGGCTAAGCTAACATTAGAATACAGCTGTTGCTGAAGTCAGCATGCTACTGTATAATATAGCATGAATGGACTGCTCTGCCGGTGGATAAGGTTTATGCTAGTTCATCAACTCTGATGCTGAATGTATTCCCCCTCAGTCTAGAGGAATAACAAAAAAACACAGGTTTGTTTCAAATATTTATTGGCTTCAAGCAGTGCCGCTGAAGCAGCAAAAGAGGGTCAGAGAGAGCTGAAGAGAGATGCAGGGAGAGGGCAGCAGCCAACATGCTGCTGTTGTGGGAGAGCTAGTGCAGGACAGGTTAGATCTAATCTAATCACCTTTATTTGGCCAAGTATGTTACAGGAATTTGTTTCCGGTACTGAACCGAGGCAGCCACCTGAGGCGCCAACTCAACCAATGGCTCTAACCATCAGGGGCAACTTGGGGGTTCAGTGTCTTGCCCAAGGACACTTCGACACGTGGACCGCAGGCACAGAGATTCAAACCTCCGACCCTTCGGTTGGGAGACAACTGCTCTACCCACTGAACCACAGTTGCACAACACCACTAATGCATTATTATATTTGATAAAAAAAAAAGAAAAACTACATCAGAATGTTATTCTGTGGGAAACACTGGACACATATGTTTACCTGTGCGACCAATGCCAGCACTGCAGTGCACAACCACAGGGGGGCCTCCGGGAGACCCCACCCAACTGGATCCCAGGCTCTGAACTGCAGCCTCCCTCCTTTGAAGTACATGCTCACGAAAGTCCAACATAGCAGAAGCACTCTTGGGCACCCCAAAATCCGGCCAGCTAACATAGAGGTAGTGGCACACCTCTCGTCTCTCACCAGACTAAAAAAAGATCAAACAATTTCATAGAGCTTTTTAGATATTTAGACTCATTCCTTTCAGCCGGCATCTATCAGTCTGTGGGCCAACAGTCATCAGTCATTGCCAAGTGTTCTTGTCTTGAAACCTTAGAAACTGCTGAGATTCCACTAACAAAAGCAATTCCACAATCTAAGGTCATTCATGTCATGTCAAGTTATCTTTATTAAAGTTCAAAATACCTCTAACAATACATTTAAGGCCATTTCAAGTGAACACACATAGTTTAAGAATTTAAGTACTGCTGAAGTCATTATGACTTACCTGTGTGTTGTAGAGTTCAAGATGTGAAAGTCTGAAGTCTTGGAACACCTGGATGTGTGTGTTCCTCACCAAGAAGTATCCATACTGCTCAGTCCTGCCCTCCTCAAGAGGCCAGTACTGACCACATTTGACACGTCCACGTTCCACCACCCTGACAAACACAACAAATCACACCTGTTTAATCTCATCATTGACACATCAATGCTTATTCTACCACTAAAGCTGGGCAGCCACTGTGTCTTTTTATTTATCCTGTATATTGTGTTAGCTCACACTACACGACTGGCCCATCACACAATACACTTCGGCAATCAGAGGTGAAGGAGCCTCACCTGGTGGTCATGACAATGATAAGTACCATCTGTTCCCACACCATGCGCCAGAAGTCACCAAAAGTTTTTGGCAAAGGACCTGATGGGACACAAAAGTCTGTGAAGCCATAAAAGCACCAGACTCTACCCTAATAACATCTAAGGGGGAGTGAGAACAAGGTTGGAGCAGAAAAGCTGTACAGTGCACAGGGAACTATAGAAATATAATAAAGTGCAGTTTGTTTTAACAGCTGCTCACCCTGAGTTGCAATGTAGGCGTTGCTCCTTTTGTACCCATCCATGAAACTTGCATTTATATAATCTGATGTCTACAAAAAAAGAAATAAAAATAAAATACAGCAGAGGTGGGGTTTGTGAGACTCGCTGCTTGGTGACTCACTGCCTCCTGGAGGACAATGAACATTACTATTATTAGAGTGGGGTCCACACATTTTCTTGATCTTTCTTAGTCACTTACTTGCAGTACATGGTTAACCATTTAGACATGGGGTCATATTAAAAACATTAACTTGGCTTATAAGTCTAGAGCAGATTTAGTCAATCTTCAGTTTCTGCAGTTAATGAGACTCATTTAGTTGCCAATCCCATTATTTTTTCTAAAGCCATTCCATCTTTTTTTTTTTTTTTACCTCTTCTGAAGGATTTCTAATAGTCTGGGGTACGTTTTGGCCGCTAAGGTTTCTACAAAACACATCTTTCCTTTTACTCATATCAAACGCAAATGCAAATCATACTGCCAAGAATTCTGCTTTCTAATCACACAAAAAAGTTGCCATATATAAACAGAGGTAAAGACAAGGAACAGACCCCAATTTTAGTCTTGAGATCAGATGTAGCTGCTAATGCAACATCATATACCCACAATTCAGTCTGCAGCCAGTCCTTTATTAATTACCTCAGTGCTGATACAGCAATCAATAAAACAGGAGAAGAGCTGAAGTTGGCTTCTTACCTCGTCTTCATCATCGGACTGCTGGCAGAGTCGCACTCGTGACTGGTCCAGGCAGAGAACATCACTGTACCTGTTCTTTAACTGATTGGACAATTTCCTGTAAAGACAGAATTGAGGTCAATGCTAGGAAACATGGAACAGAGAAAACATAAAAGGAGACCAGCAGAATAAGAGAGGAACACGTAAAAACAGAGAAGCAGGTGGGCAGAATACATTGTATATTTCTTACTTGGAGTAGTCAAAGGTGCCTGCTGGTGGCTCCTTGCGGATCTCTTCGTACTCCTGATAGATCCCTTTTTTCTTCTTCCTCTTCACATGCTCTACCAGCTCATGCACCGTCATGCCTCCTGGCTCTGGCATGTGGACAGACACTTCCACACAGTGGTCTTCATCATTGTGTCCCCATGATGAGGACAGTGGCAGGGAGTGAGAGGGAGTTTGGTGCGGTGGGCGAGGCAAAGATTTCTGGGGCAAAGGAGGCACCCCTTCCTCTTCTCCACCCTCCTGTTTTACATCCTCCATCTGAGATCTACAGGAAGAGTCTGCTGCCTTGCTGTCCACTGCATCCCCGTCACTTTTCTGGGAACGCGGTGTGTCAGGAGGTGTTTCTGACTGGGGAGGAGCTTGACGTCCACTGCTGTTCATGTTAGCACTGGGGCTAGCGCCACTAACAGTCATGTTGTCTCCGCTCACTGCTGAGCCATTCCAGTGTTGGTGCAGCCTGTTTGCAGCAGAATGTGGGCTCTGCTGGTATTGGCCTAGGCCTCGAGTCCTGTTCTCCACTACACTGCAGTGGTTGTGTGGGTTAGCATTGCTATCACCGTAGCAGTTAGAGTTAGCCACAGCTAGTTCAGAACCTAACTGTGTATTTATATGCGTGTGGGACAGTGTAGCACCTGCGCCTGTATTGCTGCACTCCACGCTGTACGAGCGCAGCAGGCTTCCCACACAGTCATGTGTATCATGTTCTTGTGTGTTACCCTGAAGAGTGTTTGTGTGAATATTAACACAGGACTGGATCCACGCCACGTGGCTATACTGGGATGTTCCACCAAGGTGCTCAGGAAGGGAGGCGACTGGGATATGACTGGCCAGCTCATGGGCTTTCACTGTGCACACCTGGTGATTGCAGAACAAAGGAAACATTTCAGATAACAGATAATGAACAGCTGATGACACAACCCCTTGGTGAAAACAGCTACACATACCCTTTCCCTCAGCTTCTCACGTACGAAGAGCCGGAGAACCGCAAAAGGTGCTCGAAACCAAAGAGGTGACGACACAATGAAGACACATTTTAAACGAGCTGGAAATGCACCCTGAGCAAAACACGCATAACAGAGACGAAATTAAAAGAAGGGTTTTAATTCCAGAGGGCCAATTTTACCACCAATAACAAGAAGGCAGGTAAATAAGACAGCAGCAGATGATGTTCCTTACACTTACCTTGAGCAAATTAAGGATCTTCACACAGAGCTCATAGTCAAAGTTTCCATAGCTGGAGTTGGTCATGTCGTAGATAAATATGAGTCCGTCTCTTTGAGTTTGTACACTAGAGAGAAATGAAATTTTTTCAATTAAAAACAGAACAAACAGAAGCCATCCATAAGAAATACATAATATTTTATAAGATACACTTGAGGGAAACTTTGGAATAATGCAATACTCTATATAATTGCTGAGTTTTTTTTTTCTTTTTTTATCCAGGAACTTGTAGGAAAACAAACAAAAGTATCATGTTGGGGAGAAAACAAACTGGCCAACACTATCTGGGGTTTTGACCCTACTAATTGGTAGCCAGAAAAATCCAAATTTGAACTAGAAAACAAAGCTGAAAATGAGAAATGGAAACAAAAATGGAACAAACTGAGCAATGAAATGACCAAGTAATATGCGGAAGGGAGAGAAAAACACAGTATATATAAATGGGTAAGGTTAAGTAATCACCTCTCTATGGCTTTGTCCAGCTGATAGATGATGGCCTGAAGCACAGCTTTGTGGGTGGTGAGGTCTGGCCGATGGAGACGAGCGGTGAAGAGCGCTAGAGCGGCACCCTTGGCATCACGACCAGGCTGTAAGGAATATTAACAGGCCATCATATCCAGCAAAGCAAATTCAGTGTGTTTCTATGTTATTTGTGAGAAGCAGATTTAAATTCTGATTATGAATATACTATATATCCTGACCATTCATACACACATTCAGGAGTACCAATCAAAACAAATGCATTTTACTCTATCTCAATTTAGAAAAAGACACATGCAAGCATGTGAACTAGTGTTGTCACGATACCAACATTTTGGTACCGGTACCAAAATGTATTTCGATACTTTCGATACTTTCGATACTTTCGAAAAAATGTCATTACTGACTTTATTTTAATAGAAAATCTTAGAATAACATCAAAATAAAATTCAAAATACTAGGTTTTTCTTATTGCACTAAAAAAAATTATTAGGGGTGAAACTGCAAAATGATCAACTCGAGTTCCTTTATGTTTAGGGGCTCATAATGACTTCAACACTCACCAGGACTGTAAATTTGCCGCTAAGCAGCTCGGAGCGTAGTGGCTCCTCGTCAGGGTTGATATTGATGATGCCCTCTTTGATTCTTGTGTTCTAATTTTGATACATAGTGGTAAAGTCAAAGCATAAAAAAACAGTCATTAGCTTATACCTAAGTCACCATGCAAACAATCGTTTAACAGCTCAGGAAAACAAAAACAAAAACAAAAAAGTAAATTTTGATTTACTTATTGTTTCTTGTTAGTCTGTGTGTTAAAAACCTGTTGATAAATTTGGGAATTAAAGCAGGTGTCTGTTGTGTGTTTTAGTGACACACAATCTCTTTTTTTTTATCCCAAACTGGGCCTTTATACCCCAACCCCAATACTGCAATTCTGTTTTGAACAAGTGCATGGAAATTCAGAACTGAATAACAAGTTATGACCTGCTACAACAGCACATAGTTAGGACTTGCAAGCATGTACAGTATTCTGCTACAGTGTAGATACAGTATGTCAACACATCATAAGGGTCATCAGTCAGACGACATCTAATAGCAGTACTATACAGTAGAAAAATAGCTGTTAGTGGTTTAAAACAAACAAAAAATACCAAAAAAAAACAGAGGACTTAAAAAAATGAATACATTTGTCTGATTCATTTTATGTCCAAATAAAAAAACTTAAAAAAACTTTTTTTTACAGAATCTTATGAAGAATATATGGTATACCAACAAAAAAAGCCTGGATTTGGTTTGGTGGTGTAGAAATTTAAACTGCAAATAAAATACTGGTCTGCAAATTGCAAATGATATTTTCCCCACATCCTTTAAACTCTCTGGTGTCATGTTATAATAAAAATATCATCTCAGTCATGTCACCAGTCAAAGAATTGCTTCACCTTGTATGCTTGGAAGAGGTCGATGGCTCTGGAGACATCAAATTTGCGGGCCATAAGAAACTTTACAGCTGTCGGTTGAGAGATGAGCCCAGCGCTGTGAGGCTGCTCCCTGCTATGCAACTCACTCAGGAACTCCTCCACAGCCTGGAATAATAGGACAGAAGATATGGAAGAGAAAAGGTGAGGTGTTTGTGTGTGAAGAAAGACTGAAGCAGAAGAACTGATATTTTGACAGAAGGGAGATAACAGGAGGAGGAAAGCCTCATACAAATACATCAAAAACTCGGAATTTAGGGAGTAGAACAAGAAATATAGACAGAGACACAACAGGCATAACAAAGAAGACACAAATCTGCCAGCCCCCTCAGCTTTGTAGCTGTTTCCCTGCCAAAGATACAATGATGTGTACAGCACATAGCAGCCGGATGTGCCTCTGGAATATGAGTACATGAGAGCACCCATATGCCAAGAGACAACAGTTAACTTGTTTCCACCCAAGTAGGCTACATATCTCTACCAAATCTGAAACCACCAAAAGGAGAGTATAGGAATGGGTACAACAGATGAACACACCAGCTGTAAAGAAAACTTGAACCTACTCTCTAATAGGACAAAAAAGAAACAAACAGGTGTCAAGTGGAAAACAAATCCAAATACAGTGGTTTGACAGACATGGCATCTTGTCTCATGATCAGTTTTGTTATTAGATGAAGACCTAAACAGACTATATATATAAAAATCTAGCCACAGGGGTTGCAAGCCAATGACTTCTATGCCGGTCCCAAGCCCAAATAAATAGAGAGGGTTGCGTCAGGAAGGGCATCCAGCGTAAAAACATGCCAAATTTAAACATGTGAATCATCAGTGTGAATTCCATACCGGATCGGTCGAGGCCCGGGTCAACAACGATGGCAACTGCCATGTAGTACTTGTGCTCATGTCCATGCAGATTCTCAGTCATCCAGGTCATAGTAAGCTATGACCATAGTATCCCAGTCAACTTTAAGCCAGAGAACACCCTGCGGCAGAGACTGATCCACCCGAAGGACAAAACACCCAAACACAAAAAAGAGTGATGTGATGTATGCAATTAAGTGTAGTCAGGGGTGTAACGACTTGTACATTGGTGAAACTAAGCAGCTGCTGCACAATCGCATGGCCCAACACAGGAGGGCCAACCCCAGTGGACCAGAGTCAACAGTCCACCTCCACCTGAAGGACAAAGGACATTCTTTCAAGGACAGTGAAGTCCAGATCCTCTCCAGAGAACATTGCTGGTTTGAGAGAGGAGTCAAGGAAGCTACTGTATTTTTGTACAAATAGAACACCCCTCACTAAATAGGGGTGGTGGACTGTGACACAACTTGTCATCCATCTACTCTGTTTTGAGATCTTTGCCCCAACATTCCCACCCTAATTCACAACAGGACAATAGGCATCAGTCCACATGTGAGGGTTCAAAGACAGGTAAGGACTCTCACCGATACACTACAATGACTCAGTGGTTAAGGGACACTGTTGGCCATCAAAGGACAGAAACCCCACTGATGGGGATAAATATCTCCGACTCAACGCTAGTTGGACAGAACTGATGAAGCCTCTTGGATGAGAGGTGAAATGTCTTTGACCTAAAACCAAGTCCAGTTGATCTTTTCTACATTTTTTTCAGAGTACTTCTGCTCATTTTCTTCCGTGATGCTAAGTGACTTTTTTATCATGGGATACCACCACAGTAAAATCCTAACATGCATGTATGGAGCCATAATCATTAGCACAATGAGTCTATATAGAAAAGTATCTATTTGAGCATTTATCTGGTCAGAACAACTGGACTTAAAGATTAGTGACTCTGAATGTTATAACATAAACTACATGCAAACAATATGCTGAGTGCAAATCTGTGACTGAACACACAGAATACACACACTTGTCTGAGAAACGTGACCAGCACCTGGTCATGGCATTTCAGTACAGTACAGTACCCTTAATGCACAACACATTGTCCCAATAAATCAATGTTGACAATGTCAAAACATGTTTGTTAGCTGAGATAACATTTCTTAATTTCAGGGTAAATAAGACACCTTGATATAGTGAGAAGCCTGGTCAGTTATAGATAGCGGTATATTGAATGTTATCATCAGTGACTGAACATGGGCAACAGGATAGTTGCAAGCCATGGTGAGATCATACAAGACAGAGCAGGACAAGGCGCTGATTTCTGCAGCTAATAGACTGGTGTTACAGGATCTAGGAAAGTGTTGGCTATCAAGAAGCACACTGACAAATGAGGGAGCACTACAAGCATGCCATACAACCTATCTTACAAACCTTGTGAATGCAAGATGAAGATTTATAGCTTCCAAATAACGGAAGCTGTCACGACGATAAAACAAATATATAACTGAAGCTGTCACCTAAATCGCTGCGTGGCATTTGATGTTTGCTGTCAATGCCAGGCCTACCCCCTTTGCTAGAAAGCGATGGCAACAACAGTGCTAGGAAATGGGGGGGTCATGTCTGCGAATTCTCGACTGTAAATCTCATCGGCAAGACACTATTTAGTTGGATCAAAGCTAACATTCGCGTTGTACAGAGAGTCATGCTCTTAGTCTGTCTTAACTGTGTCATATAATGACGACTGACAATTAAGACAATTATTATTTGGTCATCTTAACCTTCATACAACGTCTGGCAAGTGGCAAGACAGCTGCCGAGGAAATTCCCTGCACGTCAACAATAGCTAGTAGTATTAGCTAGCAGCTAGGTTACATGTGGTAGCTGGATGGCTACCGACACCGTTAAATACTCTACAAGTCACATGATAGCATAACCATGGGTAGCTGAGTATCGCTAGTTAATATAAGTAATGTGAACATATTTTTGCTGAACATTTTAGGATGAGTTATCAAGGGAGCGAGTACTGGAAATGCACAGCCAGTTAAGTGATTTCTACTACTAGCTACTAGCAAACGCCATCATGCACACATGCTATATGCTGTCAGTCACACCGGAGTCAGAAGACTCAGGAGGGTGCGAACGGACCAGGGCTATTTACTAGACCACATCATTCCCGCGACCAATCATTGTGATAGAATATATTTGAAAAATCGCCCGTTAAAGTAGAAACTGAAGGTGATATGTGTATACATTGAACATGATTGAGCGATAAAGGGGAGAAACAACGTCTAGACACCCTTACCAGCTGCTCCTGAGGTGTAAAGGCTTCCGCCATCTTGAAGCCTCCGCAACGTCGCAGCGAGCGCACCCACCAGCAGATCGCACGCCCCGCACCTCGAGACACAACCCGAGGCCCCGCCCATATCCATTCACTTTGCCGTAGTTCAAAAGCTGTACGTTCACCACTGACAGACAACTGTATGGCCCAGTTCGCTGACGATATACTGACAATTTATTTTATAAACTGCATTTCTGCATACATTTACCACTCACAGTTTAATACAGACTGTTTAACGCTAACAATTCAAAACATAAACTTTATTTGATATATTTTACGGCGGAAAATAATTAACTCAGTTTATCAACCCATTCCACCTCAGACTGTTCTGTATTTATCAATACAATTTACTGACAATTCATAAGCTCTGTTTGCTACTGACAGTTCATAAACAGTTTTAGAAATACTACTGACAGTAGTATTTCAGTAATAACTTCACCAACTCTATTAACCACACATCTTACCACAGACAATTCAAAACTCTAATCCATAGGCTACTATTGCCAAGCTATTTGTACATGCATTTTGTAACTGACAATTTCATAAATCCTATAGAGCTTATGAAATAGCCAAACTTTCATTGACATTTTTTTATTTAAACATAAACAGTTAAGCTAATAAAGAAACATTATTTTCACCCAAACATTTTATAAAATTACAC